CCCCGGCAGGTGATGTGGTACCCCCTGCCGCATTTTATCTAGAGGTATGGGACGCTATGCATCTGGTTACGATGCATTAATGTCTTGACCATTCGATAAAATGCGGTGACAGACAGCTCTATCCATTGTAAGGGCACTTCCTCTTTGGAACACGAAGGGACCCGAGAAGTGGTATTCTGAGACTATGGAGCATCCTGTACCCCAACAACCCTCCCCCAATGGTGTTCGACACTACTGATGATCCTTGCTCAAATCAGTTACCAGAGTGAGAGTCAAAAATGTTGATTTTTCTATTTTACTCATTCCTTCCACATGTTAGCTGGCATTCTCCTATGATCTGAGCACAAACAGCAACCCTTTTTTTCCTCTCTTCTAAGTATCACTATGGACTCATAGATTTTTTTTTTCAATGTTATCATCTGTTACTATCAGTTTTCCTCATGATGGGCCCCAGTGTGAAAGGTGCTCGGTCCTGTGCCCTCTCTCCAGACCCCACTGTCTGACAACGTCCTTCCTTGCTTTCTGGCACAACCATACAGGCTCACCTTGAGCCTTCCCCACTCTAGGTCTGGAACTAGCCACTTCTCCAAGGCGTCCCAGGTCTCAGGAACCAAGATCTAGGCTTCAGGTGTGCTCACAAGTTTGGGGTATTTTTGCTTCTAGGCCCTTTCAGTAGACAAAGCCAGGAGAAATTTCATTAAAATTATGAGTCATTATTTAATATCTCCAAAGCCAATCAAATATCATAGTGTTCTTCCTCAATTTCATTCATTATTTTTATCTCCTTGGCTGGAGACAGGCTGGTATGGACCCACTGGGTGAAAGATATAGGTTCCCCAAAATATCTATCTATTCATTTACTCTACCCTACAACATACTCAAAAGGATTTCAGAAGTATAACAGCAATATTACCAACCATACACCTAGTAAGTTCAAGATTTCTGTGCAGTTAAATTTTGTCCTCAGAATATATTCTACTAAGAATAGTCAGAGTACTGAGTTCAAAGGTGCTTGAATTATTTTATCTGTATGATTATGTCATCAATTTCACATACTCTTAAGATCATTTATTTCTGTTTGTAGTCAGTATAAGGTTTTGCCTTTTTCCATCCTAACTTTTATTTTTAAAATGATCTGAAATCAAACTATATAAAAATGTACATTCGGAGGCATCTCATTTCCCATCTAAGCACCTCTATAGGTAAACATTTTTAGTTTCTGGTTTATCTTCCTGTGGGTTTGTTTTGTATTTTTACAGGAAAAGAATCCATATCTTGGTATTTCTATATGGATGTTTTGAACCTACCTTCTTATGCAAACAGTAGCATGTTATATACTCTTTTGTACTTTGCCTTTTTCACTTAATAATATATCCTGGAAATTCCCCCATGTCAAATCATAGAGTTTGTCCTCATTCTTTTCTACGGTTACAAAACACTCTATTATGATAGATGTGCCCTGATTTATTCATCCAATGTTCCTGTAAATGTGCGATTAAGTTATGCTGCTACAGATAACATCGCAATAAACCCTACGCAAGCACTGTTTTGTATTCGCGGAGGCGTAGGCTCAGAGTAAATTTCTATAAGTGAGATTGCTAGATCAAAAAGTAAATATATGTGTACTTGTTCACCAGTGTATCTCCAGCACCTACTATCCAAACAGTAGACACTTACTAAATTTGTGCTGGACTGAACTGAAATGTAAGTTTTTTTAGAGGACTTTAGAAATCTTTTGTTCATTTTCACCTCCCTCCTGCTTCTATCTCCTGAGGACGCAGCTTTCTCTCACCACTGTCCGGACTCTTAACAGCACATGTAGGGGGCCCAGTGCCCGGGAGGCCAAGCACACTGCCCTTGACAATGACAGCTGATCAACGTTTCTGTAATCCTGAGACACGGTATACTTTTAAGACACAGTAGACTTCTGAGCATTACATTTCATTAAAGGGAAATGAAGAGACTGACTCGAGTCCTATTCTCAACCAAAACCAAAACTGACCTGGACTATTTACTATTACAAGATAGACAAACAGATGGATAGATGAATGGACAGATAGAAGAGAAAAAGAAGGAAAACTGAAAAAAGGTGATAACTAATAGTTTAAATAGGGAAAACTGATGTTTTCTTGAAGGCAAAAAATTGTAGAAAAATAATACATTACAGTAATGTCTGCTTAAAAGGTCAGCTGTTATTGGAATAAGACAATTTATATTAAACATCTTATATATTAAATATTAAGTAGTAAATAGAATATTAATATCTGATGATATTCTAGAAAGAAAACATGCAAAAACTTCAGATACCTAGGTTCATCATAAAAAAAAAAAAAATCTCAGTTTCTTCAGTACTTCGGACAGCGCCACAGCTTCGGGGAGTTTAAACGCTACCAGCCGCTGAGGGGCGGCCAGTACATGGGCAGGGACTCTGGGGCCAGGCGCCTCGTTTCAAACCCCAGCCCCACCACCTCCTGCCGTGAGACTTGCAGCAAGTGGCGTACCTTTCTGGGGCATCAATTTTCTCACATGTAAAATGAGAATAATAGGACCTACTGCCTCCAAGACCGTGAGAATAAGAAGTTAAACTCTAAGTGGTTTAGAACAGTGACAGGCACAGAAGTAGTTCGTAGAGTCTGACAGACCTGGGTTGAAAGAGCTCTGCTATGTGAGACCTGTGTGACCCTGGGAAGTCAGTGAAACTTTGTGACCCACGATCCTCCTTGTTAATCACTTGGAACCATTCTAACCACTTCCCTGAGCTTCACAGAGACTGCAGACCAGCGCGAAGGCGGAGCAGAGAACCTGGCACTGAGGAAGGCAGGCTGGGGTACAAACGCCCAAAGGAGGGGCTGCTAATGGCAAGCCCCCACCATCCCCCGAGACAAGGACCCACGAGACAGCCAGCTCTCCCACGCCCACGCTTCAAGTTTCTTCCAAATACTCTACTCTAGGAACAATGCCAACTCAGACAAAAAGCATGCTAAGAGTCCAGGTCCCGGTTCCTAAATGAAGGCTGAGGCTTTCTTCAAACGTACTTTTATTTACACAAAAATGACAGTGTCTTAGTATCAAAGGACTGACTACCTGTCCATGCCGATTAGGGCTTCATGTAAAAATATATCATGTGACTACCAAATCCCATTATATTGGTGTGAATTATTATTAAGAAGTTAAGACTTTTAT